TCTAGCTTTTTACGGTTTCCTCAGACCCAGAGAATTCACCGTTATTTGTCAAAGGGATATCTCACACAGCCTAAAAACCTCACAACTCACTAAGGTGGAAGATCACTACGTACTCACGATAACATCTACCAAAACTAATCACTCACTACACCCCACTATTATTCCGCTCTTTCCCACTGATAATGCTTGGTGTCCGGTTAAGGCACTAGACCACCTACGGTCAACTCATCACAGGCACTTACCAGACTCTCTGCTCTTATTACTACAAGGGCACCCACTCACCACTGCTAAATTCACAACGAACATCAGAACTTTACTGGCAAAACTGGGTTACAACCTGGCTTCAGGGCTGCCATCAGGGGGTGACAACTATGACGGTTGTCACGGGCCCGGCGGTCCTGGGGGGCCCGGACTGCACAGGTAATCCTCTGCATGCCTGGGCCCCCAGCCCTTCAATTTGCATATATATATAGCGAGTACCGCTATGTATATATGCCTCTGCGGGCCAGGATATACTTACCTTCCCCTCCAGCACTCTCGCGAGCCACAGCAGTAAAGCGTTGCCGCGGGTTGTCATGACAACGCTCCGCGGCACGCAATGCATGCTGGGCTCGTGTCCTGGCTGCAGGAGGGAGAACATGGAGGGAGTCTGCTGGGCTCCTCCTTGCTGGCCCAACACGCGGAGCCACCGGACCACCAGGGAATCCAGTGTACATCTTTTTTTTTTATTATTATAAAAATTCTACATAAAAAAAAAAAAATGCCTCCCAGCAGCATTTGTCACACATCCACCACATACATCATCAAACAGATAAACTGCATCCACTACAAAACCATACACATCATCCTCTACACAACCATACACATCATCCACTACACAACCACACACATCATCCACCACACAACCACACACATCATCCATTACACAACCATACACATCATCCTCTACACAACCACACACATCATCCACCACACAACCATACACATCATCCTCTACACAACCATACACATCATCCACTACACAACCATACACATCATCCTCTACACAACCATACACATCATCCTCTACACAACCATACACATCATCCACTACACAACCCCACACATCATCCACTACACAACCATACACATGATCCTCTACACAACCATACACATCATCCACTACACAACCATACACATGATCCTCTACACAACCATACACATCATCCACTACACAACCATACACATCATCCTCTACACAACCATACACATCATCCACTACACGACCATACACATCATCCACTACACAACCCCACACATCATCCACCACATAAACACACAAACTGCATCCACTACACAACCACACACATCATCCACTACACGACCACACACATCATCCACTACACAACCACACACATCATCCACTACACGACCACACACATCATCCACCACATAAACACACAAACTGCATCCACTACACAACCACACACATCATCCACTACACGACCACACACATCATCCACTACACGACCACACACATCAACCACATAAACACACCATAAACCACATAAACACATAAACTGCATCCACTACACACATCATCCACTACACACACACACAGCATCCACTACACAAACACACACTCTGCATTCACCATACACACACTACATCAGGCCCGGACTGGCCATCGGGCACACCGGGCAAATGCCCGGGGGGCCGCGGTGGCCATGGGTCGAGGCCGGCAGGGGAGGTCCCAGGATCTCTCCTGCCGGTCTTTGCTGAAACGGCACTATCGATCAGAGATCTCCCTCACCTGACCCACATGCAGGATGAGAGAACCAGCCTGCCAGCAGAGGAGGGGCAATGAACTTTAACTTGCCCCAGTTCGCCCGGGTTCCTTTCGCGGTCACTCACCACTAAGGACCACCAGGGATGGGTGGCAGCCCAGCAGCGGGTCCCCCTCTCCAGGCGCGCCAGGTAAGCAGGGAGGGGGGATATAATCACTCAGGGCACAGCAGCCTCACAGACACCCCTAACACTCACTCACACACACTGCACCCCTTACACTCACAGCACCCTCACTCACACACACTGCACCCCTGACACTCACAGCACCCTCACTCACACACACACACTGCACCCTGACACTCACAGCACACACACACACACTTCACTCCTGACACTCACAGCACCCTCACTCACAGCACAAACACACACACACACACACACTGCACCCCTGACACTAACAGCACACACACACTGCACCCCTGACATTAACATCCACTACACAACCACACACATCATCCACTAGACGACCACACACATCATCCACTACACAACCACACACATCAACCACATAAACACACCATAAACCACATGAACACATAAACTGCATCCACTACACACATCATCCACTACACACACACACAGCATCCACTACACAAACACACACTCTGCATTCACTATACACACACTACATCAGGCCCGGACTGGCCATCGGGCACACCGGGCAAATGCCCGGGGGGCCGCGGTGGCCATGGGTCGAGGCCGGCAGGGGAGGTCCCAGGATCTCTCCTGCCGGTCTTTGCAGGGCCGGCACTATCCGATCAGAGATCTCCCTCACCGGCCCACATGCAGGATAGAGAGAGGGAGGGAGCCAGCCTGCCAGCAGAGGAACCCAGCAGAGCTTTAACTTACAGTTCCGCCGGGTTCCTCTTGCAAGTTCACTCACCACTAGGACCACCAGGGATGGATGGCAGCCCCAGCAGCAGGATCCCCCCTCCCAGGCATAAGGTAAGCAGGGAGGGGGGATATAATCACTCAGGGCACAGCAGCCTCACAGACACCCCTAACACTCACACACACTGCACCCCTGACACCCACAGCACCCTCACTTACACACACTGCACCCCTGACCCTCACAGCACCCTCACTCACACACAC